TTACCATCAAGGTGATCCTTCCCATTATCCATACTCAGAATGGTGCTAACCCAATCAGTGGACTGATTTATTTATCACATATTTTTGGAATCAAACTCATGACCTCATGCTTGTCAGGAAGGCACTATGCCCGCTAAGCTATATCCCTGGGAAGTTATCACACATCCTTAACCCAATTCACATGCCCTCTTTCCAGCTCACCTCCGAAAAGCTCCACCTTTGGCCGCATGAGACTTTGGGGGAATATCCAGGTATAAGCCATCACATGTCATGACAAGGATAGGAGGAGAGAAGAAGAGAGGCTTAGAGTGGGACATTTTTTGACCTTAATTACATTTTTAAAAATTTTATTTAAAGAAAGACTAAACAAAACAGAAAATAGGTAGAAATAATACATATATTCAGAGGAAAAAATTAAACAGTAAGAAATCACTAGTTGGTGTTTACATATTGTTGTTTTACAAATAGTTGTTCAAGATACAAAAATGTAACATGTAAAGTGGGAATTCAAACAGTGAGACTGCAAACAGTTCTGTTCAACTGTCCAACCAAAACTTGTAATATGGTTGTCAATCCTATACACTTAAACATACATGCAGTTATCCATATCTTCATTTATGTTTAGATTAAACAAACTAAAGAGGAATAAGATCATTCTGAACAAAGAATAAAAGTATTGTTGAATTTCACATCATGACACTCTGTGATCAGCCCTGGGAACTGTAGTGACCTCAATTACATTTAAATAGTCTGCTTACGAAGCCAAGATGTGGGAGGTACTTGTGGTACTGTTTATAACTTGCCAACCTTACATGGCGTAGTTCCTGATAATATTGTTTTTAAAAATTAATGCACTTCCTTCTCTGCCCAGTGCAAGAATATAATTATCAGGTGTCATGGTTTATGTCTGTGGCCCCAGGCCTAATGAGTTTGCATTGTGCAGTTGTGCATTTGCATTGTCTAGTGCTTGTATTGATGATGTCAGTGCTCCACCCACAAAGGGTTGGAGCCAGGATGTGATGTAATGGCAGGAAGAAGGTGTGTCTTGCTCTTTGCTGGTTCCTGTTTGCTGTTTGGAGCCGCCATGAACTGCGGCCCAGCCATTCCCACCTGCCTTGGAGCCAACTGAATATGGACTGAATCCTCCAAAAATTGTAAGAAATAAACCTTTCCTTTCCCAACTTGGGCTTCAGGTATTTTGTCTCAGCAATGAGTAAAAAGTAGCTAAGACACCAGGTAAATTTTATGGAACTTAACGTCCTAAGATATTGAAATGTATTCATATAAATTCAGACCTCTAATCTTTTATTTTGTTTCAAAAGATAGCCATTAAATGCTAGGTCCTCTGTTGTAGATCTATAAAGAAAAATGAATGAGAGATTTTGATATCCAGAAATTCACAACTGGTTTGTAAATATGGAATCCTGCCATAAGTGTCTAGCAAATGGATAAGCAGTATGCAATGAAAATACATGAAAGAGCAAAAAATGGAATGTACTCTACTGAGCAACTTGTATAAGGCAGGCATTTTACCATGACTGCATATATATCTTTCTTTTTCCATCTGTTAGCAACAGTTCTGTGATGTATGTCTGCTCCATAATACTAGCAAGGAAAATAGGGTGAAGGATGCTGGAGGACAAAACCCTTTGGTGGGAGTGAAAATTACTAAGACAACTATGAGCGGTCATCACCAAAAATCTGGAGGGTGTGTTCTGTTCAGTAACTACAGTCTCACCACTCAGTGCTTCTGGGTCCACATAAACTTTGAGACAGAGATCCAACCACAAGTCCCCTGACACCCAGGTTCCTGTTTTGAGTCATCTTCTGTTTCCTCAGTGATTTTTGTCATCGATCACAGCCTAGGAAAGTCCATCTAAAAAAATCACAGTGGTCCCACCCTTGGCCAGGAAGGCCAAGGTCTCCTTATCGTGTCTCTAGACACACTTTCCCCTTACACAGTATATCGATCCACTAGTGTCTCTGCTACACAGAGGCATAACATAATTATGGAATCTCCACTTGCCACTTTCTGTAGGTTTTGCCATTTCTGCAAAACGGGAGGTCACTTGCTATGTTCAGAATCAAATTAAGGGAGAGACTGGCCCGAGTTATTTCCATGTTCAGTGTTTGACTTGAATGTAAAGTGAATCGTGAGGCCAGCCAAGTTCACATTGCAGTCTTTGAAAATCAGAGTAGCATTTCCTTTGACTGTTGAAAGAAGATGTTGCATTTCATGGGAAATGCTTTGCAGATGCATCACCATTTTGGTGATGACCGCCGTATGATCCATATGGCATCCCATCCTGAGTGCAACTTGATAGGAATCTCTATGTAAAAAGGGTTGATGAGCTTGCAGATGGCTGGCAAGGGGTTTACTTTTGTTTTGGACGCTGTGTAAAATGTGCAACTCATGATATCATCCATTTTGACAAATATGCGCATCACAGCTCCTAGATATTAATTAGGTCAGCCTACTCAGGGCACCTGATTATGTAGATGATGTTTCTAAGGGGATTTTCAGGAGTATCGCAGTCTTACCATAATGATAAGTCATGGAAATTAGTCTGCATGTGCAAAACCATCTAGAGGCATTGACTTGCTCTTACGATTATTGTATTTGGGTGTGTAAGCAATGTAGTACTACCCAAAAATCATGTGTCGAGGGGAAACCAGTTATCTGTAGTACATCACAGGACACATGCATCCTTTTTCAGCTCTTTAGACCAAAGTCCCATTGAGCCATCCTGGAGTCCAACCCAGAGCAACATGGACAGTAGGTGTGGAGTCAGTCCTAATAGGATATGAGAAAAATAACACTTCCATGCTGATTGAGTAGCAAATACCAGAGTCTCCTGTTTCCATGGGCACCTCAAAGGGCATATTGCTTTTAGCAACCACTTACCCAGCTGACAACATCAGCTGTCAACTTCCAAACCAGCTTTGGCAATATGGACTGGCACAATTCAATTAGAAAGTCAAATTTCTAATTGGGATGGTAATTTTTTTTAACTATGGGTCACAGTCATCAGTATAGATTAATACCATGAAAAAGGCCAACACTGGGTCCCAATCCAACATTGACTCCAGAGTGAAAAAGTAAAAAGCCTAACTTGAAAAAAATCCTTGCGCTTTATGAAACTTGGAATTCTTGTCGCATGTCCTTATTCATGAGGTTCCTCTGAAGTCTCAACAAAGTGTCATTATTTCTAATACCCATTCCCAGAGACTGGGAAGATTCAGCAATGGGAAATAGTCTCTCACTATAAATATAAACTTCTATCTAGGTGTTCTATCCCAGTGTTTGACAGTGTGTAAAATATTTGCGGGTAGTATTGTTAAAGAGAACCAGAAACATATGCTTCCCCATATGTGTAGTAAAAACACCTTGTAAACTGTAAAGTAGGAAGCAAGTCAGAATTATTACTATTCAGGCATATAGCCAGGTGCTACATTTATTCAGGAAAGTTCTCAGTGCTCTCTCTGCTTTGGGCTGGCTAGAGGTGCACATTAAGTTTACACACATTATTGCTACAGCAGGGCAGAGTAGATACACCAGACACATCCACGTGTGTTTTTGACCTCTTCTCAAGATGTGCTGGAGGCATTGAAAGAACCTGTACATAGCATCTTGCATTTATAAATGGCAAGGAAAACTAAACTAAATGACTTGGTACAACTGTCCCTATAATATCATCCTGATTCTTTTTTTTTTTTTTTTAAACTCCCTACCTACAACTAGAGATGTTGTCATTGAGAAATTCAAAGTCAAACTCTACCACTATAGCAGTGAAATATGCTGGGCTACACTGTCCTAGGCAATCCAGTGAATTTCTTAAAAAGTGAAAATACTAGGTATTGATTAGAAAAATATAACATAAAGCCAAATTCACTGGTAGAAATAGTAGTATCTCTGCTCATAAACTTAATTCTCTCCACCATGCTGGTCGTTAACCAAACTATGAGAACCAAATCAAATCCAATGGTGAATGTCTTTGATATGTTTCTTGCTGAGACAAAATACCTGATACCCAAAGTTAAAGGGAGAAAGGTTTACTTAGCTCACGGTTTGTAGAAGTTTCAGTCCATAATTGGCTGGCTCCAAGGCAGGGTGGTTCATGGCAGCGGGGCAATAGTTCCTGGCAATGGAAGACAACAAAATAATCAGAAAGCCAAGATGGGAAACAACTCTCTTTCTGCACCTTTTGTGTTATCTAGCCTGCTGGATTTAAGGGGGTGCCAATTCAATCAGTGGACTGATCCAACAATTGCCTATCCTTTAATTCCATCATTGCACTATAAATCAATCACACATTCTAGATTCAGTCCCTGAGAAATCCTCTGAAAAAAATTTAGGACCACGTGAGGGTTTGAGGGGATCTCTAGACACAAACCATAACAGATTCAATGTTGACCTTACAGGGGAATTGGATTCCATTCTCAATTTGGTTCGCAATCAGAGTTATGGAAGACAATTAAGTTTGTGAACCAATATACCATTGTAATTTTATAAGAAAGTTGATTTATATTATAATTTGAGTCTGTTATATTCCCCCAAAGGCCAATGTGTTAAAAGATTGGAACCCAGGGTGACATACTTGGAGGCAAACTTTTAAGAGGGAACATTTAGTGGAAATCTTTAGGTCTTTGGTGGTATGACCTTGAGTATGATAGGGAGCACTGCCTACCATGATTCATTACAAGGGGTAAATTTAATACTTCAATAAATAGCTTATAAAGGATGCTCATGGAAGAATTCTCAATTATGGTAAAAATATGGGACCATAAAAACTTGAAATCAAGTTCCCCTGTGTCATGTTTTATGTCTGTGACCCCCAAGCCTTATCAGTGTGCATTGTGCATCTGTGATTGGTTCATTGTCTAGTGCTTGCATTGATGGTGTCAGTGCTACACCCACTTAGAGGTGGAGTCAGGATGTAATGTAATGGCAGGAAGAAGGCACATCTCTCTCTTGATGGTTTCTGCCTTGCTGTTTGCAGCCACCACGAATTGCAGCCCAGCCATGCCACCCTGCCTTGAAGCCAACTGAGTATGGACTGAAACTTCCAAAAACTGTAAGAAATGAACCTTTCCTTTCCCGACTTTGGGCATCAGGTATTTTTGTTTCAGTGATGAGTAGAAAGTAGGTAAGACACTCTGTAATCTTAAGCATCATTCCGTGTAGAAGAAAAAGGCTAACACATTAAATGCTTTCCAATGAAGAGTAAATGAAAACCTGAAAAACCTGTCTTAATCAGAACTAAGACTTTAACTGTTAAGAGTTTAATCCCATGTCATCACTGCATTTGGTAGGACTTTCAAGTAAGTTGAGAACACTTTTAGAAAATTTAAAAGATTATCTTTAGTGCTAGAGAAGTATGTATATTTCATTTCACCCTAATATTAGATGAATAAACTATGCCATATTAAAATTAAATATTCATTTAATTGGCTGGAACATATGATCACAATTTTGCTTTGTTCTCAAAAAGATTTCTCTAATTATTTTGTAGTTTCTTTATACTCAGTGGTATTTTGCATTACTTTACATGGTGGGCTTGCTTCAATTCTTATACCTAGCTCTCTGTCTTAACCTCTTTTCCATGTAAAGTAGTTCTATATCACAGAAAAGAATACTTAAGAGAGAGATGGACAGACTACTTAATGCTCAAGAGTTTTAAGCTATACAAAAGACCCTCTATTTCTAACAATGCTGAAAGTTCAATTATTAGACCAAGCATTAATAGTCATTGTAAGACTTCTCTTATCTTTCAAAGCCATATTATGAAAAGATATAAAAAAATCCATCATTAAAAGTTTAATTTTGATGGCATGCCGGAATGGTACTATGGATATATCCAGAAAGCCAAATAGCATTAAAATGAACACTTTCCAAGACGTTTTCCACCACATTTTAAAACTGTGGCCAGCTGTGATGCACACCTGTAATTCCAGCTACTTGGAAGGCTGATGCAGGCAGATCACAAGTTTCAGAAAGCCTGGGCAGCATAGCGAGACTTTGACTCAATAAACAAACAAAGAAAGAAATAAATAAAAAATAAGGGACTGGGAATGTCAGTGTGAAAGCCTTTGATATAATCCTCAGTATCACAGAACTAACTGAACAAAAGTAGATAAATAAACAAATAACTACATAGGCTGGTGTGGTCACTTATTGGCAGACAAATCCTAGACGCAAACTCCATAGAAAAATAAAAGTGTGGGTATTACAAAACTTTACACTATGAATCTGGTTCTTTCAATATTCCCTCTCTTACCTTGTTAGCTTTTCTTGTGTCCTAGGGCATCACGCCCACAAGGACCAAACTCCTGGCATCTCCCATGCCTGGAGGAAGCACAGGTCCCAGTGGAGACTCATGAAGCAGGAGAATCCATATCCAGGAGGCAATTTGGATGAATGAGGGACAGGAAATGGGAGAAAGTTGGAGGATGAGGCCCGCTCCCCATAGGTACCACATCCCCTCTCTGAGACGCCCCACCTGGCCGGTGAGTGGCTCTTTCCCACTGCACTGTGGTTTCCTGCGGTCACCCTGGCACACACACAGCTCCCTGCTCTTCTCCTCCTGTGCTGCTTTTGCTCCTACTTAAGGCCCTCTCTCCGCAGCTTTGGGGTGAGCACTTTCAATAACACCCCAGTCAGCAGTTGGCCTGAAGTCGGCTGTTTGAAAACCCTGGACTGAGCCCCCGGCTTGGTTTGTGGGTTTCTTTTTACCCTTTTTCTTCAGGCAAGTGCTCCGCCTGTGTGAAATGACCAGCATCTACTTTGCAATAATAAGATTAGGCCCTGAAGCATCGTATGAACCTGGAGTTCTCTTAGATGGGCCGTATGTACCTTCAAATATCAAGCTGCGGCTTACCCCTAAAAGACCCAGATGTGCTAGGCATTTAACTTTTTCACTGTGTGTTTCTAGAAGCTAAGATGTAATACCTTTCCCCAGCTCGCAGCAGGTGTGATCAGATGTCTTGACTTTTGTTTGACACTTTCTTTTGATGGTTTGGGTCTCTCTGTTGGAGATCGATGAGGAAAAACCAGAAAACATAGACACACAAAAATCCCTCACATATTAGTTAAGAAATAAAACAGGATGCTTGTAATTCCCCCATTGAGTGCATCTGAGGTAGGAGGATCCCAAATTTAAGCTCACTTTGCAGAAATTAGTAAATTAACAAGAACCTGTCTCAAAAATAATTTTAAAAGGGTTGGGATGTAGTTCAGTCTGAAAGCTCTGGGCCCAATCTCTAGTATCTTAAAGAAAAGGAAAAAAACAAGTTAAGAAAGAAAATTGAAGTGGCACAAACACAGACCAACTAAGATATGCAGGTTGGGACTGAAAAGTTGGTTTAAAACAGATGAAAGGTCACAGTTTCATCCTTATAATTCAAAATTTTGTGCTGTTATCCTGGATTTGTTTGAAGGAACTGTATTCCTTCTACATAGTCCATAAAAGATTAACGTACACCAGTGTAATTTCATTTATGATTCAATCGATTGTGAAAAAATCAAAACTTTGTCTTTGTGCTTCCAGCAAAATCGTGACAAATTTTGCATAGCTGGTAGCCTTTAAACAAAGCGCTATAGTTCTCAAAGTCATGAATTTTAAAACAGAAAATAGCCAGCCAATTCTGAAGAAAGAATTAAAGACTCTGAAATTTCCCTCCTGACTTCCATTAGATACCCAGGAGAGCTGTTTGGCTCCGTGAATAATTAAACAGTGGAAATGTTTTCTAAAGTCATGCATGGAATCTCTCAACCTGCAAAACGTTTAAAGGCCGGGTGCCAATCAGCTTGCTGGATTTGCAGAGGTGAAGACTTAAATCTGAGGAAAGGGATCTAGCCTGGTTTTGCTGCATAGAAATGATAAAGGACATAACTGTCCAGGAGAACATCCTGGTCCTCCTCTGACCTTTGGAAGACCAGCTGGCCGCTTCCCAGGGGAGGTGCCATAGTCACTGGATTCCAATTTTCTGTTCAGCTGTTGGAGTCCCATGAGGAATTAGCACCATATAGGGAGGAGTGCTCGACTCTGTAAAAGAAGACTCAGTGGACATTTACCACAACCTGCTTTCTCTCCATTAACTTATCATCTGCATTAGCAACATTTCCTGGGCAGAATTAGCTTCTAAACATCCACAAAGAAACCAGTCATCTCACCCCATGGTCATTGTTGTGTGGTCCAATATGGCAGCCACTAACCACCATCCTATCTCCTGTCTAAAATCAAGAACACCTGCGTTAAGATATGCTTTCAATGCCAAATGTATACCACCTTTGCAAAACCTTAAAAATGTGTGGGAAATGTGTCCTTAATAATTATGTGCTGATTGAGATGTGTTTTGGATGTATGCAGCTAAGTATCTTGTTAGCATTAACACTTCCTCAGTCTAACTACATTTTAAGGCAGCTATCATTAAAAAAAAAAAAACTGAGCTATGGACTTTGCTCTGAAATATGCAGCATTTTTCTTGAGGCTGCTCTGTGGCACTGGATAATTTCCATTCTCTGTCTTGTGGCTTCTATTGTCTTGAATTTATGTTCCAGGAGAACACCTGCATCTCAGTTCTGGACTGAATGCCTCGGTATGTAAGAAACTCAAACTCCGACAAATGCTAAAATCTCATTCAAGCCTGGCATGACGTCTGCGATTCTGCTTTCTAGTCATTTGTGTTAAATTCAGAAGATCGTGCCTGTTCCCTGAAGAGTTCTCTGCAAGCCCTCTTTCTATAGTGCTTTTAGTTTCGTGATTCCAGCTGCCTCAGTGTCCATAATTGCCTCAAAACATTCATCTTTCAAGCTCATTTTGACTTTGGAGAAGAGGCAGGCATCATGCAGTACCAGACCCACTGACTAACGGAAGCAAGGACACACTGAAATGCTTTGATTTGGCAGAAACTGTCATAACCTGCTGTTGTTAGCAAGGTGAGAGCTAAAGAATGCATGGTCATTAATGTTTCGCAAAATACTCAGCATAATTCCCCTCAGCTTCCCATCATCCTTGGCAATAGGTCATCTCCTATAGTAGGTTTTCTTCCATTTAAAGATCCCAATATATTTTTCAGTCACTCTGTGTCTGCCTCTGTACAAATGATAGGAAATTAGTCAAAAATTAAATCTTTCAATTGGTACCTTTTTTGGCCTTCTGGTAAAATGGAAACCAGTTTGCACTGCTGGAGTTTAGAATGACCTGCTTTGGGGGAGAAACTGGTGAACCAGTTCCAGGAAGACTTAGACTCTAACATCGCTTTGCAGACTTCAGTTAGATACCTAGAAGAGACATTTAACTCCAAGCATTAAATAATAAAAATGTGTTCCGAGACAGCTGAGGGATCCTTGTCAATGAGACACAATAGTTGCTTCAAAAATATATGAAATTTCATTGTCTCATTGATTTTATTTAGCACTTTAAATTGTTGTTTGTTTATAGAACCCTGGCACCTATGCAGGTATGCAAAGCCATATCTTCCTTAGTCCACCTGTGATAACTTTTGATTATTTTGCACAAAATGACCCTGAGTGATGTGTTTGGAGCCACTGTGAGATTGTTTTTTATAATTTCCCTTTTTGGAGAGTTCACTATTACTGTATACTATCTCAGCAACCTGTATTTACGTGTTGATTTTCTGCCCTGCAATTTTGCTCAGTTATTATTATTTTTATGTAGCTCTGCCAGTCTTCTGGGTGGACTCTCTAGAATTTCCTACTTATTAACTAAACATTTGCATTTGGAATCCTCGTGTTTTATGTTCCTGAAGCTGTCTCCTTGGTCCCAGAAGAAACACTCTGTTTCCTACACAGAGCCTTACAAAGATACCTGCATAATTGATTCGTGATTTAAAAAAGAATCAAAGCAACAGGCCGAACCAAATTAGCTGCAGCCCAGCTTGCTTGATTAGCTGAGCCTCCCAGCCTGTCACTAGGATGTATTAATAAGAAAGAGCACAGGAAAGTGTTTCTGCCGTTGTACCTGGCTGACTCTCTGCTGGCTGGCAACCACGGCTTTTGTTCACAATCCAGAGCCAGAAACATAAATGCACTCAGCAAGCACCATGGGGAAAA